TCAGTCACTGATGTTAGGATTCCAAACTAGGCCTAATATATTTGTTTAGGATTCAGGCTCACTAATCTCTTATGACGTTCGTCGTGAGCGGCACTGCCAACCTGCTCCATGCTTTGGAGTTGAGCATTATCGTCGACAACAACAGTGTTTTCAGGATCATCATCATCGTCTATTTCGTCATCACAGTCGCCTTTATCATGCAGCAGCATATAAACGGTTTATGTTATGCGTTAGGCACAAAAAGATAATTATCGTGTGGTTGATCGATACTGAGATTTCAGCCCGTGTCTCGGGTTTTTTTCAAGGTAGTGGTGTTATGAAATCTTGGTGTCATTTGGCCCATCGGTAGCAACATCTGGATTTACAATCAAAAAGCTTCGTATAATTATCACCATGATCGTCTTCGTTTTGTTTCGTTTGCTCTCATCACCACTACCATAACCATTGTTGTCATATTCACCACCGTCGTCGTCCTTGTGTCAGCATAAACATCATCGGCTTTTTTGGCTTGTAATAAGGTACATTAGAGCATTGAACTTAACTAAATCAGCTGTGGCGCTTGATGATTAGCAGTTTTCTATATGTTTGTTCAACAAAAGTTTAAATTTAAATGAGTTTTGTTCTACACTTACTGTAGCTTTAGGTTGAACCTGGGTACAAAATGATGGCGGAGCATCTAATATATATAAATAGCGTTTATCAAGTCATTGAGAGGAAGTGTGGTGGCGATTAATCCTTGGCATATCAGTGGTCATTCTAAAAAAATATTTAAGAATTTCAATCGAAGCTCTACAAAACACTTCGTATGGTATATGAAACGGCGAAAGGTCGAAGAAATCGATGAAAACATTTGTAAGCGTCATAATCAGGCTGAAGGGATTTCACGGAGGGAGAGATGGAGTCGGTTGGCGTGCATTCCTTTCTCTAGAGGACGGCTCCTCTTCAGCAGCATGAGAGCATGGAAGAAACTCTCGCCGGGTTTTAATTTTACGGCCCTGTTGCTTGATTGTGAGATATGGTCATTCACAAAAGCTGAATAGCACCAGATATCTGTCATTGAGAGAGCCATGCAAAGATGAATGTTGAGAATGCAATATCGCGACCACATCCCTAAGACATAATCAAAACGAGAAATAGCTACAATGGGCCTGGTCCGTATCTCGGCTCACTGACGGGAGAAGATCGACGGCGATTGGATGTGGTCGCTTGGTCTCTCACCACGACCTTTTTAAGATTATGGAAGGCGGCAACTGTTAGAAGTTATTATTATTATAATCATCGTCATTTGGATTATCAAGATCAATGACAGAGTATACCAAGATTAATGATATCTGTAGGTAGAAGGAGGTAGAAGGTTCGAAACCATAAAGAATATCCGGCTATTGCGCCAGAATAAGTGATTTTAAGAACGTGCAACATTTTTAACATATGTCTGATTGATGTTCTGATAAAAATCATTTAACGGATCACCCCGTGTCTCAAATTTCTGTAATGAACACAACTCGTTGATCGTTTTGTATATCCTAATCGCTGAATAACACAATGTAGTCATAATAATTTTCTTATCAGCGTACGTAGAAGAGGTTTTTTGACTCAAGGATTGTTTTTTTGCTCGCTTAAGACAAACAGAAAATGTTTTACTCAATAATCGACGCGTTTCGTTATTAATACCGGTTGTCACCGGGACATGATAAAATTAAAATCTTTCTGAACGATGTTATTTGAATGATGCATGAAGAAGACAGTTTGGTAGTAAATTATAGACCCAAAATAAAGAATTCTTTCCAATTACTCTTACTATTACTAAAGTATGTAAAACTGGAGTCAACTGTTTATTTTTTATTTCATATTCAAGTTTTTACACCACTGATAAGCTCACAGTTGACATCAACAGTCAGCTGCTGCAAAGGTGATTTGTGTTAGTATTCATTCGACGCATCGTTAGTTTAACAGCCAGCTATCTAAAGAAATGCGTGTTAACAAATATAATACGTGTAGCTATGAATCGTTAAAACACTTGTTTGATAAATATATCTTTGTTTTGTTGTTTATTATATCTGTTAGTTTGTGCTTCTTATTTCATAACTTTGACCGCGTAACTGCGTATTTCTCTTTCTAGGGTGACAAAAACAAACGTGTTGAAAACGGACAAAGTAGAACTGAGTTAGGCAAGTTCCTGTGATTCGTTCATGATGGATTTTCTTGACGTGCTGTGGCCAGTAATTGCCGTCAGCGTGGGACTGTGTTTGCTACGGTAGAAACTAGGCACGCCTGTTATTAACGTTCTAATTAATAAACTAATTTTTAGCTCCTACCTCAAAGGAAAGCAATACCAAGGCAAAGAGTCGGCAAAGGGCAAAGTAGCCATCGTTACGGGCGCCAACTGTGGCATAGGGAAGCAGATCGTTCGAGAGCTGAGTCAAAGAGGTATGCGAATTTCGATGTCTTCGATCTGTATTTGAATTGTGCTTAATTGAATATGAATTGAACTCATGTCTTTGCCTGAACACACTTACATGATAATGAGTGACATGAAAACTGTGATTGAGGGTGTAACAGGCCGAAAATGGGTTTCGGTTGGGTCAAATTGGCGAGCTTACGCATCTCGAAAAGAGTGTAGTTCAGATTGTTGAGAAAGCGTTGATTGTACATTTATTCCTTGTTCAGATTGACAAGTCACAGCCGCGATGGTTGAAAAAAAGCTTGTTTCTCTGATGCGAAGCAGCTGTTCCTTATTCAACCGACATCTTAGATGTCAGAGAAAGCCAAAAGTGATCCGGAACAAACTCGTCAACCGACTCTGCTCCAAATTCGGGTTACTTTCTGCTGAAACTTAGATGCTGATGTAGGATTTGGAACGTTTGAGACACAGTCTGACACGTCTACCACTGTGACCCGAACGGATAAGCGGTCATCGATACTTACTGATTGATTGACTCACTGAATCGACTGACCATCGAGTACTTCTTCTCAGCCGAATATAATAAATGAGCACTGTAAGATGACTGTAGAAAAAGCGACTATAGAAGAAAGTCACAGTGACGTTGTAAAGTAGCTATCAAAATCAAAGCAGAACAAGTCGATAACCAGAAAACAACATGGACTTATTGTGAAAACAAGAAATAAAACTACTGCGCCATTCAAAAGACTGAAATGTACATTTGGGGTGTCTCAGAAGCGAGGCGAAACGATGTGATACACAGCTGGTGTGCATCGGTTCTAGAAGGTACTGTTAAGAAGACAGCGCGACGGACTATCATTCATTGCTCGATCAACGAAGTGTCTGATTGGCTCCGTATTTAATAAGCAACTTTATGTTGTGAGCAAATAATTTGAGCGTTGCATCAGTACCACAAATCAATGAATCATGAATCATACAAAGTCATCCATGGAAAATGATCTCGGATGCATAGACATTTTCCGGCAAAATTCATAAATAGACAACAGTCGAGGAGCAAACAAATCGCAAAGGCGCTTGTGATAAAATTCAGCGTAACCACATTTTCTAGAGAAGCATTTGTAAAATTCCGATGGTGTGAGATCAGAAAATTGTCGGTCTTCCTTCATTTTCATGATTGAGCCATTTTGGCGTCCTTCTTTTCATGAAGTTGATGGTGAAGTGGTTACGTTTGTTTCTACGCTATCAGCCAGGAGTGCCTTATATTTTTAAGGGCACAGTCTACAGCCATATGGCAAGCGTTGCGTGTAGTTCTGTTTCCTTCCCACAGAAAGGTTCTCATTTATCAATCACGCATTGAAGAAGGGCGAATGACCTCGACCAGGGCTTGACTAGGATGCTATCAGTATTGAGTTCGACCCTCTACCGATTTACCAACCCTGGTCTGTAGCAGTGTGTGGTAAATTCCTTGCTCAAGACAAGAATTACCCTAGAGTCGAATCGATCTCGGCACTTCCAGAATTTGAAGCATACTCTTTAAACAGTATTCCAACACGCTACACAGAAAACAGAAGATATAAACGCACCAGTAAATCCGGTTTCTCCAGATAGTAACGATTCAATTTGCTGCTGATCTATTGAACTCGATATACGGAAACTAAGTAGGTTGTATAATGATTAATTGTGTTGATTGATATTGTGCTGTGATATGCTGATTTGTGAGCTAATTAGCTGCTTAACGATTGTCAGTCTCTCTGGTCTAGGGTCTTTAGTTTTTTTACCAACCCGCAGACTGCGTGTCCTATGAAAATATCATTGCACCGTCACTGTGCGTGTTGTATTTCAGTGAATCAGCCTTCACCATTAAATGCATAAATTTACAGATCTCTAACGAGCAAATAGATTTTATATATTCTTCGTAATTTCAAGTGAGGGCTTCTTCAGCTGCAGTGCATGTTCGACAATTCCCGAGAAGTCGCATGCATCCATTGGATCTTTTCTCGTAGAGTCGCTTAATTTGGTGCATCGAATGCAGTTACGTCTGGACGTTGCTTCTCAGGCTTGTTTCGTTGAGCGAACATTTCGCATGCATGTGCGGTTTCTTGCAACCTGCTACAGTATATAGACTTTAAGGCAAAGTTGTACTTTCATACACCTGTGTATGATGATGGATATCAGTACAGGACCGAACGTTTGCCTTCAACTACATATTCACGTTTTGCGGCTGCTTATCTAACACTGTTCGCTTATCATACGAATCCAGTCCTACTAAGATCAGGTTTGCTCGGTAGATAGAGGGTCGAACCCAGAACTGAAAGGCACCAGATTTGAGCCCCGTCGGGTCACTTTACTTTCTTCCTTCAGAGCTTGATAAATGACTAATAGCTGCCAGTGACTGTGCCTTAAAAATTAACTAGTGCTTGCTGATGGCTTGGTAATGGAGATCACTGTCCCACTATTAACTTCATGAAGCGAAAGATGTCAGAAATGACATATTCACAGAAGCGTAAATGAAACACTGACAAACTTTTCATTTTCTTTTGGCTGCAATATGCATTGGTACAATTTGAATCAGTCCGTTGAATTCAAAGCTTCGGTTCTTTCGTGCCGGCTGCGGTAGTTTGTTCATATCTGTTTCGATGCCTGCGTTTTAAGACCGTATCTACAGCTAAGGACCATGTAGTGTTTCCTTCCCACATAGCAGTACTCATATATCTACCTCGAACAAATCAAAAAGCAACTGACCCGCCTTGGATTTGAATTGAGATCGCGTGACCGACCATGAATTTGAGTTTATAAGTATTAAATAAACCGGAAGTTATGAAGTGATATGGCTTACTTATATTGTTCTTATACGAGGATGCGATTTTGATTAAGTAACTGTTATCCAGGAGCCAAGGTTTATATGGGATGTCGGAACCTGGAGGCCGGTCAGACGGCGTTGGCCGAGTTGGCAAAAGTTGGCTGTTGTTCGACTCGGCTCGTGCTACTTCAGCTGGACCTATGCTCCTTCTCGTCGATCAAAAGCTTTTGCGACGAGGTGGCCGCTGCCGAATCGAAGGTCGACATCCTAGTGAACAACGCTGGAGTCATGTTTTATCCTAAGTTCAAGATCACCGAGGACGGTCACGAGCTGACTTGGCAGACCAACTACCTCGGTCACTTCCTCCTCACGGCGTCGCTTCTGCCGCTACTTGAAGCGGCTGCCGATGAAGCACGCGTGCTCAACGTGTCGGCCAGGGCCCACTATTACGCTGGACCGATTAACTTGGAGAAAGTCGATCAACGCAGCGGATGGGACCGTCTCGAAGCGTACAAGTCAAGTAAACTCGCACAGGTTCGTTTCTTGAACATTTTTAAGAATTAGG